TGATTTTGGGCTGTGCGATATTAACGTTGATACCACACTCAGTACGCTCAGTACGTGATGCTACTATTACCAAAGCAGTTCAACTCAATTATTCAACATTACCGATACTATTGAATCAATATTTATATATTCGTCTGAGATAGTGTTTACGCAATGGGAAACGTGAGTAACGTGCGCGGTTACGTGGGAATTAAAAACATCAGGCCGATCTGCGAGCGTGGGTAAGACGCGTGTTACGTAAAGATTAGGACGGATTTTCTATGTATGAAAAGAAGATCTCAGTTCGCTTGACTAAACAAGAACCGGACAGAAAATTGCGCGATGTTAAATACGATATCTCCACCCAGGGCGCCACTTCGCAAGAACATTCGTGTGAACATAGCTGTGTTGAAGATGAAGTGATACATAGCTGCGTTAAAACTCGATTGAAATAACTGGAAACAATCGACTGATTAGGAACTCGCTGCAGGAATTCTCCTGTGTTCCTGCAGCCGACTTTTCCCAATTCATTCTTCCCAAATCACGGAAGTGACTTTCCCAAATTACTTCCATCATCAAAATTCAGTTATCTTAATGGAATTGTTTTCCCCGCGGAGTTTCTGCGCACGGAAACAACTCGGTTCGTATAATTGAATAAAGACCAGACGATAACTCGACGACCTCAAAAATTCGCCTGGAACAATTAATTGACCAGAAATCTTGAATCTTTCTGCTCCTACAAGTTTCGTTCCTATGCTCTCTCTCTCTCTCTCTCTCTCTCTCTCTCTCTCTCTCTCTCTCTCTCTCTCTATCTCTCTCCCAGATAACGAAAAATTCAGTCCTACGAAATCATCTCCTTCTCATGTGGAACTGATTAATTTGCAAAACGGATTAATCAGATCAAAGACTTTGAAGAGACACGTCTGCGAAAAGTGTTTTGTGTTTGGAAGAATTGAGAAAAGAGATCGCTTTTCCCTCGGCGGGATTAATAAAAATATGTCGACGCGCCAGGATACATTCGATCGGAGCGTCTCTGTCTCATTTCGCCGCAGTTTTTTGTCATCCGTTCGTTTTTATATATCCGCTTCGCACAACTTCGTGTTCTTCGCACAAAGCGAATCGAGACATCGGTCGTTTCACGCAATCGGGGACCGTTAACCGATACGAATAAATTAAGCATATCGCGCAAACGATTCCAGACGAGCAGTGACCAGCAGTGCTGTTAGATAAATAACGTAGCATCATCGGTGCTTAATGGAATATCGGCTCCGCTTAATATCGCAACGCTGCGCCGCAATGCACGTTGCGTGTGTATTATTTAACAATCTAACCTCTCTGACCTGCCTACCACTTTCTTCTGGCAAAATCCGGTGTACTTCACATTAGTTAACGGACGAGCGCGACGACGTTATCATCCGACGAGTAAATATTACGACTGCACGACGGCGCGCATGTGGCGGTTACGCGCGAATTAAATCTGATACTGATACAGAGAAACGGTCGCGACAAGAGAGCAAATTGACACACTCGGCGCGACTGCTGATTTGTCCTCTGTCGGATTATACGAGCGATCATTGATAAATATTTGAACAGCCACGGATTTCTGAGCACGGTGAAAGGAATTTCGCTGATGACTCGTGCAATTTTCTGTGAGCAGTGCCGCGAGAAAGGAGAGCCTCAAGAAGGGAGAGAGAGAGAGAGAGAGAGAGAGAGAGAGAGAGAGAGAGAGAGAGAGAGAGAGAGAGAGAGAGAGAGAGAGAGAGAGAGAGAGAGAGAGAGAGAGAGCGCATTATTTATTACGCAGGATTCTACGATATTGTTTCCTTACGGATTTAAAAAAATAGTACTGACAAAAAATTTTGGTCCTTAAATAAGCGGGAAAAATTTACAATATAATATAAAATATAATCTAAGGTTGCTGCATAAAAAAATATTAGTCGCATACAAGTAACGCAGGAAAAGAGAGTACGCAGAAAAAATAATATTCCACTGCTAAAAAAAAGTGATTACTCAATTTACCTTTCTTCTTTTATATAATGGTTATCTCTTCCGCGAAGAATATTTTCTTAATCGTAATCTTAAAGCGCACAGCTATCACAGATTTTAGAAAAGAAAAAAAAAAAAAGAACATTACGCGCGTACACACATGCTCAAAAGGAAAATTTGATCTGTTTTCAAGAATATTATTATAAAACTTACACTAGGAAATTTTTGTCTTAATTTTATACTCTTGTTTTAATCTGACATCCTCAATTGCAGATTGTTAAACTTGCTCGGAACGTATTTTGAGTAAATCTGTGTCTAGGATGAGCTCACAATTTGCGAATAAATTTATGAGACATTCGAAATAAATAAATAAATACATATATATATATATATATCTCCAACGCAGTATGCATTATATTTCTTATAAGGAAGGAAGCGGGTCTCGCGGACCTCATGAATTTGCGAGTGATTTTGCGCGCACGGGCGAGAGAGAAAGAGAGAGAGAGAGAGAGATTTTATCGCGACCGCATTCTCCGGTAACGTCGGTGCCTCATATCGCGCCGCTTCGTGAACCAGGACCAGGAGAACTCGTTCTGGAGCATCCACCGCGGATAACGACACATCGCGTGTTACGTATCGCGGTGTCGTGCGAATTAATCATAACGCACCGTATTATATAATACACAATCGGCCGATGCACGACGACGTGACTTTGTTGCAATCGCGACACAATCGTCTCTCATTTCGGGGCTCCGGCTCTGCCTCGGAATCCGAAAACGAGAGGTGCGATGCAGCCGCGCGCGCGCGCGCCTTCGCGGTTCGCGAGCGCGCGTTATGTCACGTCTGGCGTTTTCTTTTCCTTCTCTAACGGAGAAAATGCGCGTCTGAGACGCAGCGAAGAAATCGAGAACCGGTGAGCTTCGCGCACCTCAGCTGTCGGCGGACAGCTACGGGGACGCGAGCGGCTTCTCTATTGCCACTCCATTGCAAAAAGAACCCGTGTTGGGATTTATCTATTTATCGCGAGAGCTGATGATTTGATACTCTTATTTTGTAGAATTAAAAAACCTTCAAATCAAATTCACAACTCGCAAGCCTGTTTGGGATTGTGAGATATCTTTCGTCGTTCACAATTCGCAGACCTCGGCCTCTCCGGGATCGTGCGGCAATTCTTTCGTCGAGACTTGAATTTTTTTCACGTTCAAGAACTTTTTCGTCGCGAGCTAAGCTTCTTCACGCTCGGGACAATTTTCTATGTTAGCAGCGGAGTGTTATCACTTTTCTTAAGTGTCTGATTTATGTCCAGATAAGCAGGAAAAATATATTCTGTTACCGTCGTGGGAGAAAATTACCTTAACCGAGCGCGGAAAGGTTCAACTCGCGACGAAAAAATTCCTGAACGTGAAAAAAATTCAAGTCTCGACGAAAGAATTGCCGCACGATCCCGGAGAGGCCGAGGTCTGCGAATTGTGGACGACGAAAGATATCTCAAAGCTTCTAACTGTGCACAATGGGGCTATTAAATTACACTTGAAGCTTCGAGACATTTTATTCTCCGTACGAAATTTCCAAGTGTGAATATTCTTCTAAAAGAATACTCTTCGAAAGGTGCGCTCCCTGAAATTGCTTCTATTAAGAGCCTCGATATTTTGAGTTTCCGAGTAAATTCGAAGACTGGAGGCTTCCGATCAGTCGAATCTTCGGACCTCTCAAATTATCGAAACTTCGAAGCACCTCGGATACATCGAACAACACTACCTCCGACACACACACACACGCACAAGCAATGACGGAAGATTAATAAAGGCGTTTAATCGCTGGACGGATTAAATGTGACAATTTAAATTCAACGGGAAGACAAACATAGTCGCGGCGGTGTAACCCACGAATTGAATTGGACAGCGAGTCGTGTTAGAAAGGCCGGCGGACACGGCTAAGGAACTCGATCTCCTCGTTCCCTCTCGCTTTTGACAGCTATTTAGACAGATTGCAAAGAGCAGCGTAACGATCGCGGGGTCCCTCGCGGTGGTTATTAAATCGGCTTCTTGCCGCAACAGGCCGGCAATATACGTCTTGCTAATCACGACGAGGCGAACGATGTGCAAAGAAGCGCGCAACGCGACTCGCATCGTGAAACGTTGACTCAAGGCTTTCTTTGGAACGGCACATAAGGATGGCCTAACGACTATAAATACGTTCATTAAACGCTCCCACAGTACGTTGCGAACGAGCGGTACGTGAATCGAATTCAAATCGCGCGCTCGAGGTGATTCAAAGGAAGTGAGGAAGGAAGCAGCGAGAGAAATGAGGAAAAGCAAGAAGGACGAGCGACTTCGAGCAGCGATCGATCGCCGACCGATCGGAGGCTCTTTCAGCCGCTGGCAAATAATTCAGGCTTTCAAACGCGCAGCGAAATAATCGCTGGATGCTCCCTGTTCTCTCCTCTCTAACTAGCCCCTACCCCGACGCGACGCGTCCTCATCGATATTTCAATTTAATTTACGAACCCGGGGCGGCGGGGAGCCGGGGCTCGAACCAAATAGAATCCCTGATTAGCCGCTCTAACTAGCCGCGGAGATTGAGAGCACAGCTCAATCGGCGGAGCTCGGATTACGATTACGGCAGGCGGACTTTTTACAACGCGCCATTTTCCGGTAACCGCGGCAAGAAAAACAAAAACCTGGAACGTATCGAGATATCGCGTCGGCCGCGAATAATTCATTCAGCGATACGTCCGTACCGTACTGCGGCGCTTCTTGCTCCAAATATGCTCGACGCGACGCGAGAGAGAGAGAGAGAGAGAGAGAGAGCACAGAGAGTTCCATTATCGTCGTCCTCTCATACCGGAAAGTTACGCGCGCGCGCGAGATGATTAAAGGAGGTAGACATTGTGGAAATCCCGCGAGTCGCGAGTCTTATCGACGCGCGTGTGCGTCTCGTCGGCATCGCGATATTATATTATAATATTACGACGGTAATTAGCGCGGCGCGGAGAAAGAAATTCGCTCGAAGTCGACTGGACTGGGGTTACTTACTGTGACTGTGACGGGGCAGCGCGCGTGTTTTGCGGCGTGTTTGCGATCGATCAACGTTCCTCCGAAAACAGTAACACACACTATCCTCGTGACACTTGGACGAAAGCGAAAGTAGCCTTCTCTCCTCTCTCTCTCTCTCTCTCTCTCGGCCCTCTTCTTCCTGCGCCCAGCGTCTAACAACAGCGAGCTCTCGCCTTCTGCCTCCGAGAACGGTCACGTTGCTGAGCCTTCCCTCAACTTTCGGACGGTCACAGGAGACGACGAAGGAAGTGCGCGGAGTGCACGCGGCAGATCGAAGGACAAGGCGGGCACGGGCGGAATCGCACGCGGCTCTCTCGATCTCGATCTCGATCTCTCGGGCCGAGTCGATCGTGATCGCCTCGATTCAGCCGGCCTAACGTCTCTCGCGCGGGCCCGCGCGGAGGAGCGACGGGGAAAAGCGTGAGGACGGGGAGAGGAGGGAAAACGAAATGCCGACGGGCGATTATCGACCGTGCTGATATCGAAGCGCGGAGCGCACTGCCGTCTCGTGCCAAATCGCGGACTGGTGGACGTTACGCCGGTGCATTGCTTTTAACCGATTCGCCATATTGGTACCCGGGTCCCTTCTACCGCCTCTCTCGTGTCCTCCGCTTCGCGTATACACGCCGGCCGCGCGCGCGACGTCGACCCGTGGTTCACCTGCACGTTCTGACGTCGCGACGTTCTCCGAGTGACGTCAACGCGACGACGACTCGACCGCCGCAAAACCTCTCGAGTCCGGCGCAGGATTCCCGATCCTAAAGTCGCCATATTGTTCACGGCATAATCGAGCTCATAAGCTGTGTCTCGTCGTGTTAATTGTACGTTTCGCAACGTGTAAATTGACCAATCAGTATCACCTGCGGGTAGCAGCGATTTCCGATCAATTCGACTTTATTCCGAGAATCGAGCTCGCCGAGTCGGAAGAGTAAAGAACACGAGGAAAACAGAAATGTTCCCTCGAAGGTGAAATCAAAGTTCTGAGAGGAAACAGCAATAATGAGGCGACTGAGCGCAAATATTTATGCGCATATATTTGTGATGTCTAAAATTATTCAGTTAAAATTCATCTTGTTTCTGCGTCTAGGTAATATAAATATATATATATATATATATATATATATATATATATATATATATATTATCTTCACCTGTGTGTGTGTGTGTGCAGCTTAAATTGAAGGAAATGTTATCCTTGTACAAAATTACCTAAGATGACGGTCGCAGATAATTTTGTTTTTCGCATTACATGCGAATGTGTAAATCAGTGAAAACCTTGTTTCTACGTCGTAGACGTTTTTCGTTAGTGCTGTATTATTTTGAAACTGCGAAATTGGGACTCATTCACAATCAGGACAAAGTGCTAAGAGGAATTTACATGTTTAATCTTCGTCCAGCTAATTTTCAGATCCAAGCACATCACTGCGCATTTATTATTTCGGATCTGTTGTGGAGTTTGTGTTAGCTTATGGAATTAGTGAGCGTACCAGCTGTGTTCCACGAGCACAGCGTGAATCTCTCTCGGGCGTTTGGAGCGATCGGACTCTCCACTGGACGGCGTTCGCCGTCTTCGAGTCTGGTCTGGACAAATTGTCTCGGGCGATTTGGAACGGTGGATCCAATTGCACAGCCAGAACGCAAGCAGCGCGTGAGCGCGCGAAGATTTGCGTCAACGACTGCCCGCAAACATGCCAAACGCTTTCAATCCGCCTCGAATCGTCTTCCGCCGATTTGTGACACCGAAGATGGAGCGAAGCGTTCGGCACCTTTATATGGTAGTTGACGTAAACCTTACGCGCACTTACGTCTGCATATTCCGCGTCCCCATAATTGATTCTTCTCTGCTAAATCGTCGATCGACGTATCGAGTAAGTTCCGAGACGAGACACGTCAGTCTGACGAAGGTTCGTTCGTTCGCTCTTAATATCCGAAATTCAACTTTTGCAAGTCTTGCTTCTCGTGCTTTCCGACGTCTGATACTTTATACTAATCCCGAAATAATCTGTTTTTAATGTCACGAGTCCAATAATCACGAATAAGCTGGAAGTTCTGTCAATATAAAATCCGTTAATTAAAATCCACGCTCCTACATTTAATAGACATCAGACGTTCAGGGTCAACATGTATATTACATAATATATAACTTAAGATTTAACTTATGACATTTATTACATATATTATCACCACTCAAAGTAATTGCAATACTGCATTTTACGATATTCGATAAAGAACAGGTTAGTGCATAATTATTATTATTTATGCATATTTTGTGTATATATTTCTCCAAATCAGACCGAATCAGTGCAAAATTAACTTCAGGATGCATCGAGAGAGAGAGAGAGAAAGAGAGAGAGAGAGAGAGAGAGAGAGAGAGAGAGAAAAAGAATATATCTGAAAAATGAAAAGTGTTTATATTCGGTTGCTCTCTAACGACAAATTTACTTATATCCATATGCATATTTTTTATAATTATTAATAATAATAATTATTAATCGGTATACAATCGATGAAATCGAAGCAAACCGATTAAAACATTATTATATATTGTATATAATCACGTTTTACTCGGTGTTAATTTTATTCGTTTTGGTCAATTACAATCAATCAAACGGTGCTCCACACATTTCGTTATTATTACCGAAGACTGGAAAAACGTCCAATGGAAGAAGGACAGTAGAGAAATCTATTGTGTCGATTAACAAATGAACATTCAATTCATCTTTACTAACTGTGACAATTGCGTTAAGTCTAACTACTCGTGTTTGACACATATCCCCGATATATATCCCCGAAACATTCAGTTGCCAGTAGTTTCGTAGAAATCTTTAGAAGCCTCTTCCTTTTTCGAGACGAGATCGTGCATCAAGATAAAATATCTCTACCGTGGCGATAATGATGTTAAATGTGAAGATCGAGATTCAGACAATGGCAGGATTTAGGATGGGGTCTTGAATTGTGCTTGGTAACCCAAACGAGCTAAATAATCGCTTAGCATCCGCGATATGCAAATGAAGTCGACAACTATTGGTACTAGGCCCAACCTTGGCTGCTCATTCCCAGCGTACGTACGGCAATGCCTCGCCACAAGTATGGGAGGACCATCAATTCGTAAGTAGACGCTTATTTCTGAAACTCCGTTCCACGCAGAGGCGCTATTTCGAGGTCGGACTTTCCGAGCGTTCAAAGCGCGAATATCTTGCGGAAGGTCAGACAAGTTCACTGACACGGAGAGAAGGTTTCGGCGCATACGCCGGCGTGTCCTTGGCAGGACTAGGTGTATCCTCGACCTGGTACTTGCCGTGGTCGCCCGCGCGGGACAGTGAAGAATCGGAGCCGATTAAAACTGGTGGCCATTTGTGACGCCCTTGAGCGCGAGGCTTTCGAATGCCTACGGGGATGGATTTCCTCCTCTTCCTCCTCCTCTACCTTCCGAAAGATCCTCTCCGAGTCCAAAGATCGTTCTCGCAATCGCGTCCGACGGCCACCTTGCCAGACACGCGGGATCAACCGTTATTTTGTGATTTAATGAACGAGCCGCTCGATGATTCAAAGATGCCTCTTTAAAATGCAGCTTTAATGGGACGTGACATCGCGGCGCAGCGAGAGACTAGTCCGATTGAAAGAGAAGCTGAGAAGAAATGTTTCTATTGGATTTTCAAGCCCGCATTAATAATTGTCGCTTAAAAGAGTCGAAAGAAGGAGGTACTTCACGTGATATTCAATCGCAATGACCAACAAGGATCGGAAAACGTCAGGAAAATGCAAGCCGAAAGCGCTGGTTTTGGGGAGAGCTGAGTCTTACATCAATTTCTTTTTTTTTCTTTTCAAGAGAGAAAGAGTGAACATAAAAATTTTTTTCATTAGATCTATCATTAGTGAAAAGAGCATGATTCGTATGCATTGACTTGAATATGTATCTTGCAAAATCGTACATGTGATAATAATTTACTTCAATAACGTTTCACTTAATGACGGCACGACGGTATATATCAAATTGAACTGAAAGTTAACTGGAAGGTTCGTATGTTCCAATTTCGGGCAAAAACGCACGTAACGCCCAAAAATGATTAAAAAAGTGACATGCGTTTTTTCCAAATCATAACCAAATAGCACTGAAAGAGAAGACCTATGCGTTAAATACAGGTAACAAGGTGATTCACTGGACATATTTCGGAAGATTTACACTTACGAATGCTTCTATATCAACAATTTTTTCTATATCAACAATTTTTTGCAGTAACATTTCAATCCAAAATGACCACTTCCGTAAATTTCTGTCTCTGCTCGCTTCACCTTGGACCATCTTTAGCTAAACATCAAAGGCAAGCAAACAAATATCGATTATAATTGTGCGATAATATTTAATATTGTCAAAAAAATGTCAGGAGATGACGTATTTGTTTACACTCGGCATTAACTGAAGGCCTAAACATACGAATTTTCGAATTGACTTTGTGCAACGTATTCCCATTTATTCGTTTGAATAAAAAATTGATGAGATTTAGCTTCAAGACTTGCATTTTTTATTTTTCTTATTTATCTGATTATCCCTCCTCGTGTTTGTTATTGTTGTCACTTGAAATTTGTCTCATGTGAGATATTCAGATTTAAATCGATAGTTGGATTTGAGTTCTTTAATTAAGCCATATAATATACCTGACGCCTCATACGGGTATTTATGACTGCAATTCGACTAAGAAACTCACATTTAATTTTCAACTCGTACCTGAGCATCTCGCTTGAAACAAGTTTCAAATAGCAACTGTTAATACGAGTTTAAAGATTGTTATATACGCGGCATACATTCATCGTGCGACAAATAAAAAAGACCTATCTTTAGAACGAGTGAGCGTTATTATTGCACATAAAACAGGATCATGTTACGCAAATTTATCCATACGTGGCAGAGCGAACGGAGAAAGGAAGTTCATTTTCACATAAAAAGTTGTATGCATGGTTCGTATTTCAAGAAAGTCATTATGTCAATCATATCTCTCTCTCTTTTATCAAACTTACAGCGAAGACAATTGTCTACGCGCAATTAATTCAATTTCGTACGCTTTAGTTAATCAGTTTCTCAAATCTGAATTAGTCAGTTATCTTTAATTAATTAATCTGCGACATTAGTTGATCTTTAATTAGTCAGTTTCTCTCGAATCAACTTCTCATACAAATATTTTTAATAGCCGTACAAGCGATAACGGCAATGCAGCGACGCCTGTGTTCAGCGTAATGCCTATTTTCCTTAACTTTAATTTTGCAAGCGATTTTTATGATTTGAGAAAAATAGCATCGTCGAGATAATGATCGAGGTTGGATAATTGTACGATTACTCTCGGAGGAAATAGTCATATTGCATTGTCGTTTACGTAACGCGTGAACATTGAATACGCTAATCGATTTGATATTTACTGCTGTGCTGTCATTAAGTGGAACGTTACGGAAACGAGATTAGCATATGCTTAATCTTGCAAAACGTCCAAGTCAATATATATGTGTCATATTTTTCCGATCACATTCTAATAATCCACAGAGTAGATTCTAATAATCCCCCATTCTTCCATATAATTTTACGAAATCAGCTTAGTTTATTTACGTGGATCGCCATAGGAAGAAAAATAATTATGGCAAGTTATCAGCAGCACTG